AATTTTTTAAATTTAGTGGCATATTTACCACTGATGATGTAAACGAGCACAGCCACTGCTGTGTTAATTAGAATGTGACACGGCTGGTAAGGATGTGCCTGTAGTGTGCACTGGTGGGCCGAAAGAGACGATGTGTGTTTACTGCAACTTAACGTTAAATATGGTTGAATAAATCAACAAACAATCATAAGATTGCACGACGACGACATCATTATTATTGCACGACGGAGTGCTGCATATTTTACACCTGCTTTCTCCTGACCTTCACTTTCAGCCACAGTTCCCTCTGTTGTAGTGGTGGTCCATCAGGCCCTGAGGATATTTGTATGAATTTATCTGAACGGGAACGCCTTAAAGCACATATTGTGCGAGACCAAACATGCAAATTCCTGTGGTGCCGCATTTCTTTTGTTTCTCCACGGCAAAACCCCACTGTGATTCCTTAGTCAATATAAACACAGCTATTTCAGTGTTTAGTGCAGGAATGTGAGCCACAACCTTAGTAAATATCCCCCTAAGTGAATTTAATTGGTAAATATAGTTAAGAGGTATACTTTATACTTTGGTGACATTGCAGAGGTAAATATTGAACGTTTTACTCAGCTATAATGGGAGAACTTGTGCTTGGTACTTTAAGTATAAATTGCTGATAATGGTTGAGTAAAATATTGAATACGTGCCTTTTACCTGTAACAGAGTATCTTCATAGTATAGTAGTGCTACTGATACGATACTTCTTCCACCACTCAACTACTGGAACCTCGGAGACGAGTCTTGTTTAAGTTCTACTGTAAAGTTTTTTTGCATTTCCTCTTTACCTCCCATGGCCAAATGTTTATTTTTATTTTCAAATGTATCTCCAAACAATAAGTTTTCAGAAAAATAAGATTTGAAGGAAGGAAGTTTGATCAAGTGGCTCGATAGCTGTTCTCCCAGGGCTGGGCAGAGAAAGAGTGCCGGTCTTCCCTCAAGGTCAGGGTCAGCCACTTTCACCCTGGGTGACAGGAAACTGGAGGGACTGCCGTCTCTAAACGCCTAATGAGCCTCTAATTGATATCCAGCTGAAAACCCCGCAGTGTTAATGCCAGTTCCAAGGAAACTATATTATGTACCCACTTCATTTAGCTAACAAGACCTAGGAGGCCCTGAAGCATAGATTTTAAACATGGAGTCACAGCAGCAATGAGGGGTAATGACACAGTGGCTAGTTAGTGTTCATTAAGGGAGAATGTATGGATAATACAAGTACACACATTTATATATGCTCAGTAGTCTGTGCTTATGTGTTTATTTTGATGTTGATGTTAGACCAGCCACTGAAAACAGGAGGAAATGAACTTGAATCATGCTCTTTCATTAATGTAGTCTTCCTCCAGCCTTTACTCCAGTCATATATATTGGGAATCCATTTACCATTTACCATCCAGACACAAACAGAGGCAGAAGCACATTTCACTTGAGGCTCCACTACCGTGTTAGTTGTAGCATTGAGGGCCGAGTAATATTTTCATCATGTCCCACTCTTCTATGAGATGCAACTGCTATAATGAGATGGGTTTTAAGAAAGGGGCAAATGCTTTAACCCCACTCCCCAACCTTATCCCATTCTCCATGGTTTAATGGCTTCAGCCCCTCTGCCATTGCAGCTTTCAGACATTTGTTTCCTAAAGGTTTCATTCATCTTGATCAGTACTGAATGAGATCACACTAGCCCAAAATAGCTGTAAAGCAGCTGAAGGCTTTTTTTATGCTTTGTTGAGTATAGACTGGCAGATGGCACGTGTTTGTCAAGAAGGTTAGGTTGTTTAAAGTTGATCCTCGTTAATTCAGTGTCACGCAGTCGTTCAAACTTGTACCTGCCACTTAAAGCGCAGGCGCCTGCCAGGCTGCTGCACAGATGTTCTATTTTTGTGTCTTGTGATAAAATGCTGAGCACATTTGAAGTTGGTTTCTTAAAGTATGAATAAGTAGGCGGTTGTGTTTTTCCTGTTGTTCAAAATATTTTAGTGATTTTTCCTTAGCCTTGGTTCTTCTGGCAAGGCAGTCCTAAACCTTTCGGCTAACCCTCATGGTAACACGTTTTATTTCTTTAAAGGTCTCAGCACAAAAAGCTGCTTTCTTGGTTTTGGGCCTAGGATGTGCTTTAAGGATGCTGAAACAGGTGAAAAAGACAGTTGGCTGGCTTAAGGGTGAAGGGATCACTGTGGAAATTGCATTTTGGTTGTGGAGGAGCAGCTCAGCAGCATCATGTGTCCATTTTAGGACAAATGCCCTGTGTCTGTTGGTGAGCACATCTGTCCTAGTAGCTCATAGACTGGGCTTAATTTAATAAATGGGAAACATTTTGGAAAAGGCAAATATTTAGTCTTATGTTGGCCACAGTGTCAGTTTGGACCACTTAAACAAGCAAACTGACCATTTCAGTAATGTATTCTAATACAGTTGACAGATTGACAGGAGACGTCAGGAGCACAATACCTGCCTCTGTTCTTCTCAGCGATCTGAGCTGTAGATAACAAAAAACTGTTCATAAAGGAGATTTTTAAAGCGAGTTTGTTTCTAAAACTCTCATTGCAATTTAGTTTTGTATGACCTCAGACTGAGACATGGAATAAAGATTGATTTTACTCTCAATTAGACTGCAGTGCACAATTATCAGAGTCATCTATTAGCCATGAATTCCCCTTGGCTTGTTCTCCTGGTACTCTGTCTTGGCTAAACCTAAATTAATTACTGATAACAATAGTGACTTTTCTTTTTTTTTTAATGTAGGTAATTGTCCTGCAGTGCCCTGAGTTTTATTTCTCAGACCTTTGGCTAATAGAAAATACAGTTAGAGGAGGAGTGCGTCACCCTGTTGTGAGCATGGAGTCGCCTCTAAACAGGCCAGTTTGTCTGAGTAGCTATTTCTCAAACTGGCAGAAAGAGTCTTAGACTGAGTAGTGGTTTCTTCATTATGTGGAGCTTTAGCCAGTGTGAAGAAGCCAAACATGAGCAGCTAGACTTTACACAGGCATTTGTATTGCGTGAAAGCTTAATCACTCATGGCCTCTGAGAAGGAGCTGAGGGGAAGCTTAAATGCCATATTCATCAGTGAAATGGGGACTTAGAGTGTTGGTCGCATAATTTGTTTTGATCCAATTTCTAACCTTTTCAGTTAATAATACAGAAACCCGGAGGACAAAGGAGAATTACACATCCTGTTACATGATTGAGATTTCAGTGGGCTTCCTATGGGACTGAAATTTAAATGGATCCTTTTTTCATATTGTTGCAAACCAGATGAAAAGCACAGAGAGGTGTTTTGCTCCTGCTTCTCTTCTAATCATCATCTGTGGGGGCAGGCAGCTGCCCAGTTTGTGACCCCATTAGCTTCAAGCGACAAGAAGAGTCAACCTTTGGACTCCTCATGTCTCTGTATGGCCTCTGACATATTTCTTTAACCCCAAATTATTAGCCATCTTCCCCAATTTTCCAGTTTTTCACTTTTCAAAGATGTTTTGTTTAAGCCAGTCAAGAAAGAAAATGCAAAACACTTTGAGGAAATGGCATTTGATTAAAAAAATCACAGTGTGGGAATCTACAGATAGTTTATATTTCTTTTTAAATAAAAAAGCCAAATGTTACCCAGAGCTCGACTTCACAGAAGCTGTTTACCCCTGTTTAAATTCCCACTGTAGGCCTGCAGAGTCCCGAGCAAAAATATTTCTGTAAATCAAACTGAAAATGATGAAGAAATTACTTTCTTACTCTTTCTCATTATTATTGCTGGAAATTATTTAGACTCTCATTGGCTGACCCAGATTAATGTGTTGGCCACGCAGAGTAAAATTCAGATTAAGTCTTAAAGTGTTCCCTACAGAGGCCAAACTATAATTAGAAAATGACAAAAGTAGTCTAAGTTCATGTGATGCCCTGGAGTATTGTGTCACAGTTTTGTCTGAAGGTTTCTTTTGTGCAAAAATGACATTGTGCTTGCTTTCAAAGTTGGTGGCGTTGTTGTCCATCAGGAATACGTGGAAGTCAGCTCTATCGACACGGGAGGGAGAACTGATAATTGGTTCAGGGACTTTGTGTTTAGTTATTCCTGGAATGTTTTTCTCATAACTTAATTTTAAACCAAGTAATGTTCTTTCTCCAAAAGTGTGGACTCATTAATTCTCAGCTGAGTAATTTATTGCCATGTGTGCTCATATACTTGCCTGATAACCTCAAGAAATGTTTCTGTGGGCCAGTGCAGCTTTATTTTGTTGTAAGGATTATTTTTGATTTTTTTGATTTTTTGATTTGATTTATTCTTTCAAGCATGTAAAGACAGTTGATATGTCAACACACATAATTTTACACATATCCAACAAATGCTAATCCAATATCAATTTGCTTATACCTAGAACATGCTTGAATAGAGTAGGAAGAAGTCAGTTGACAATTTTCTACAAATGAAATGGAAAAAGCTTTAACTTAAGATGAGTAAAAGTTCTTTCCAACAGCGAACACAAAGTCATTTCTGGGCTTTATTTGTTTTATTGCACAGTTTTAAGAAGAAGAAAGAGAATATGAGAGATGCATGTTAACACTGGCTGGGCTTGTGTTTTGAGACTAGTTAAGATACAGAATTAGACACTGGATAGACGTTGTTTAGGAAGCAGCAACCAAATGTAGTGGTTCAGTTGTGCGTCCCCTTCATTTTGGTGTTTCTTGTCACATGGCCGCACACGTCTCCCACACAGAAATTTCACCCCCTCCCCCGCCCTTAACTCGCCACCTAATGACATAATGATACTGTGTGGCTCTACATCACAACCCTGAATGCCGCACTTCATGCCAGATCCACCCCCTGATGAGGGTGACAACTGCCTACTGTCTCAGTCTGCCCTTTGACAACCAGCCCTTGTAGCTACCCCAAACTGTGTTGTTTGCATCTCAAACTCCTCTTTGTGTTCGCTGTTGGAAAGAACTTTTACTCATCTTAAGTTAAAGCTTTTTCATTTCATTTGTAGAAAATTGTCGGCTGTTCCCTCTGGAAAGTGATTGGGGCTGTGGTTCAACCCAGCGACATGTAGCACCTCACTGCCCTGAGAGCCGGATTTGGAGACCTGCCTTCTGTCCACTCATGGTGAGTCACTGCACCCAAACCAGGACTTCTTTACACCTAGTGTTGCATCAGAGCAAGGTCATCACGTGTAGTGACACACAGCACAATAGATACATTGTTAACCTCATGAGTTGTAAGTAGGTCGAGACAAGAATACATCTTCATCTTCTGCCTTTTCAAGCAGACGCATGTATTGTGAGCACGTGTTGTGTGTGGTGATCCTGATGGACGTGTGGGTTATGTAGAGGTGTGACTGTGTTTGTTTGTGCTTTAGAAAGAAGCCATAGTGAATCTTATCACAAAATAAAGTTTCAATTTTCTGATTCACTTTGTTGCCACCGACACCACTCTCTCTCCTCATTCAGTCTCTAGCTCTCTCTCTCTCTCTCACTGTCATGTGGACCTCCAACCCCCCATTTCGCTCCATACTGTTTATACAGGAGGTTGAGGGAACTCATCTTGGTGAATATACTACCTTGTAGCATTTTGGAGGGTCAATCCCTTGACCCTTCATGCCAGTACTGTACCTTTTACACCCAACAGTAAGGCAGAAAATGGAGGAGGCATTGAATGGGCGGTGTAAAAGGGGCTACTGTGAATTTTTACAGTATGTGTGGTGGAGGTGTGTCACCTCTCTCAAGAAGCTGTTTTTTAAAGAAGAGTCCCAAGTACTGATCAGTATGTCAGCTTGGGGCCATGTGGAAATACTCTGACTGGCCAGCCATGAAATTGTTGTTTGGCTGAAATGGACCCAGTCATTTCATAAGAATCTTTTTAGAGAGAGACCTTCTGGTGCTGCCATAGTCCAAATGAATATGACCGTGGTCCATGACAGCTCTAGGAGTTGTTAGGATAATTTTCCTGACTAGTAAATAAGGTAAGGAGTTTATACACATTAGCCAGTAACCTCTCAGTTCTAGGGTTAAACTTTGTTTCATCCACACATTATATCTGTGGCCTGGATGTGCCTGAAGACGAACAAGGTCTGTCAGCTGTTAAAGGCAACGTGGAGCGCCCAGGCTGCAGAAAGGTATGCAGAGTGACAGTCGCTGGCTCACATGTGTGCAGCTATGGCCTATGAGATGTGTGTGAGGCATGCGGACCAGCAAATGGACTGGAAGAGTAGCCCCATTACACTCTGACTGTCCTCTGAGAAAGAGGCTAAGCACTGAATACTGGCCTCTCGCTCCCTGGCAGAAAGTGCTGACACAAATTCTTGTCTGACTAAAATGCCTTCTGACTGCATGACACTGGCTCTTTTCTTCCCCTGAGGTTCCATGGCTGTAAAGCCTGGGCTACACAAAAGAAACACAGTGTGTGAGTGCTGCTCAGGAGGTGGCATAAATTATAACCATACCATAAACTGGTGAAAAGGCCCACATTGCTCACATTTTAGAAGGGGGAGGAAGGAATTTTGTTGTTTGAGCAGTTAATTGGATTTATGTGCATGAAACCTGTCGTTTTTCATTACACATTACACATCCAGGGAAAGAAGGTTTGTTCTGGTGAGCTTTCTCTTGTTTAACAGCTTCCATATATACACATATAAAAATCCTGTCATCCACAGATGTCCTGGACCAGAGAACAACTGCCTTGTCCTTTTGACCTGCAGCATGGATCTGCCAGTTTGTGACTGACATGGCACGGCTCATGTGCTGGTCACTGGTGCGGAGATGCATAAACGTGACAGTACAGAAAGTACTGGCCTAGAGTCCATCAGCTGTGCATGTCATTAAATGTGATATGCTGTTAGCCCCAGGAAACCTGGTGTTTTTGGTTTGCAACATGGGAAAAGCTGTAGTTACTAATTTAATTACTAATTCACATGCCTCAGGTTCCCATTACTGTGAATAAACTGCATTTGTAGGCTTTCTTTCAGTTGTATTAGTCACGCTTTGACCAATCAGATGCTTTGGACAATAAATCTCTGCTGAGTGCTGGTGGGGATGATGATGTGAATGATCAGTGTTGTCAAGTCGGTGAACGGGATCTGAAGAAAATGGTTGCTCCCCAGTGGGATGTGTGGGTGGTTAGCCCAGCTATTGAAGGGGAGCTGTGTCAAGCCTGACACACTGAAACCCACAAATGCCAACACTGACAGCCAGTTGTGATGAAAACCAATTTACAGGAACTGTCTTCCCTGGCTTGATCTTTATGCTTTGGTCTTTTAGACACCCGTGTTTGTTGGTAGGATGCCTAGTTTCTCTTTGGGTGCTGTTAGGACAAATTTGATGAAGATTCGGTGCAGATGAGGCAAAAGTTAATTTTTCCAAGTAGCTGGAAGGTTTAAGGACCATGATGCAGGTAGTAGACTCTGTTGTGTTATAGTTAGCCATGCTGCCAACGTTGGCTACTCTACCTTAGCACCAATTTCTACCACCAATGTGTCACCGTCTGGGGCGGCAAAAGTTGAACTTTTCTCCGCATGGTGTCGTGCCGTTTTGCAGGAGCCCCCTGCGATGTTGCTGCTGGCTACGGTGGATGCAATACCCCATAGAAAAGAATGGAGAGGGCTGTGTTTGAAAATCAGTCTGAATGCAGCCTTATGACTGGTGGTGGGATCCGAAATGAATAGTATGAATGTCTTGGGGAACCTAAACCTTGTTGCGAAGAAGGCTACTGTGCTGGAGGTGAAAAAGAAGTGGCAGCATCATGTTTATCTGGGGAACAACAAAGTAACCAACTACAGAGCTTTTAATTTGTCACATGCCAAACACACTGCTGTTACAGATGCTCTACAGTGTCTGCAGGCTTGTATGCTTATAGTTACAAGCCTTGTCATACAGTTCATTAAAACATTTCAGGTTGATGGCTTTGAAGCTGGGAATGCTGGTTAGCTCTGGACTCTGAGATGGGAGGCAGCTGCACTGGCTTTGAGCAGTGAATTGCTCATTCAGGAGGAAATATTGAAAGCTGTATGAAAGGGCTTCAAGGGGCTTTTTATGCCTTTTGCCCTCTGAGAAATTCTGTATTGTGTTTCTGTCAGAGTGCAAATGACAGACGCTGCAAATGGGCAGAAGGCTATTGTGTTGACACACAAGAACTGACACTGGCGATATTTTCCATGTGAAGGAGGATATGCAGTACCTTATAATGCATGCTCTTATGGCAGAGACTATTTTCAAAAGAGGTTTTGCAAAAAACATTTCAAGTTACTGTTGTAAAGCCCTTAATGTAACAGCAGACTTAAGTGGTCCATCTTAAAGCTATGTCATGTACAGTAATGGTGCCTGACCTGCACGGTCCACAGCATACAGCCATGTAGGTCACAGAAATCTGTCTGCTTTGACAAATAATACTTTGTGAAACAGCATGAAAAGCAAATATGCATTATAGTCTAGACTGAGCTATACCACAATTTCCTTCACGTTCTTTTTTCATTTCACTTCATGCATATTAATGTGGGGGTAGAAGATTTGGTCCAGCAAAATTGTTGTGAATTAATTTTCATTCTGTCAACAACGGGCCTTCTTTTCCACCTCTTCTCCCCAGAACCGTGGCCTAACCCCCACCTCAGCATGTCCTGTGTAATTTGTTGACTTGTGTTTGGACACAGTGAGAAAATACCCACAATATCTTGTGGGTATTTTTTTAGTGCATCCAACTGAATGTGAGCAAAGGGGCCTCATTCTGCCTAGTCAGTCGTGGTTTCTTCATCTTCATCACAGCATTTAGCATCATTAATATGGGCAGGAGATTGCAGATGCAGAGGTAAACAGAGACATCAAATTATCATCTGGGCTTTTGAGGGAATTCTTTAAAGTGATGCTCCTTTGGGACTGTATGCACAGGTTTGTTCAAAATCAACTCCTCCTCTCTTAGCTCTGCCATCCATCATTGACATCTGGGCCCAGCTAACAGCTGCCTCTCCCTCCCCCAGAATCTAATACATTAAAAACAAAAAGCTTGCTTTGAAGGAGAACAAATTATTTTGCAAATCCACAGTGAATTGGTGGGTGCGCCCTTTAGGTCACAGTGTGTAAACTGACCTTTCACTTCAGTTTACTCCAGGTCAATCCTCTCAGTCCTAGTGAAGATTAGGTCACATTTGATATCATGTACACTAAAGTAGTAACAGTTTTAATAAAACAACAAATACTATAAAGAGACAACTGGACCAGTCGGCATGGCCACCAAACAGCGAGGGTTTGTTAGGTATTTTTAGCCAGATAGATATTGGTTAGATACTTTATGTATTAGAAATGTTTAGTGGAGATAGGATGTCTAGTTAGACTGTTAAATGCTTAGTCATGCTTATGAGTTTCTACAGGGTACATCTGGTCAAGGATAACTAGAGAGAAGAGTTGATGACTGTCAGCAGACAGGATGGTTAATATTATTATTATGACGTGTATAACTGTAGCCTTAGCTATAATATGTTCTTATGTTTAAGTCACGACATGTTACTAGAGGTCGTGAGAATGTTTTTAGTTACACACCACTTAATCAACAGACACACACACATTGATTTGCTTCATGTTTTGACTACTGCTATGGCCAGCTGCAAAGCTGGTAACAGAGACATCTCGGTTGACGTTTCTGTGTAGTATGGGGCTAGCCCAACCGAGGGGATATAATGTATAGGCCTGGTGGGCTCAGGGTCTTTCATCTTACATCTGCCTGGGAGCAGTTTGGAGGTGGAAGATACCTGAGCGTGTAATGTTAATTTTACCTGTGATCCTTTGAATAAATCAGCACTGTTTTGAAGTTACTTGGACTGTCTCATCTCTCAGAGTTAGCAATGGTAAGAAGAACCAAAATAGTTCAACAACAGGTTAAACCTGCTGAGGGGGTAAAAACACCGATGTTCTACTGTGAGTGTGACTTCTTTTATTTACAAGATCCAGCTCCTGCAATAATATGTCATTTTATTTTATCTCATAACAGGACTGTTACTAACTGCTACATTATGTTTTATATACAGTATACAAAACAATGATGATGTGTTTAGTTAAAGGCATTTTTCATCTTACATTGTGATTTCTTTGGCATCGTTACATCCATAGTATAAACTCCACTGG